GGGGAAATCCCAGACTGGATGCAATGGCAGATGGAAGCTGGATTCAAGAGCTGGATTCTGGAAGGCACAGATAAGGATCAAAGGCAGAACAGGCAGAGTCCTCCTGAGATGCCAGCTATTGAAGAAAAGGGTTTGACCCTTGTGATCCCTCGCTCAGATTCACACATCCATGGGATGGAACACCTCACTGGTCAGTTTAGGGTCCCCTGCCCCGGCGAACCCTCCCCGCGGCTGAGGCCTTTTACTTTCTGCACCCCCAGGGTGGCACACAGGCTTTAGGAGTGACCTTGATCTGCACAGGAGCAAGCATAAGCAAGAGCCTTTCTGCACACCAGTCCTTGGCAGTGACTCTGAACATTAAGTGCTATCACTGCTAGAGGCAGATGCCGTCTGTGAAAGTATGCCGCTACCTTCAGAAAGTGCAGTTTGTTAGAAGAGATTGAGCTGAAGAGGAGAATCACTGAACAGAATTGGTTCTGTTCTAACTCAAACCAGGACAGAGCAGTACTGCTATTTATCCGCCAACCAGGTATAATCAGGGGCATTGAAAGCTTTCTCTCACATCTCTGCCTCCACTGTTGGGTGGCTGGTTAGTATTCTTGCGTTTCCTGATCTCATAAGGGGAGATGAGGGAAACGATGCCTATGCTAGTGGTTTTCATAGCTGCTTTTGAAAGAGAAGTAGACTGAGTCGGGCCATCAGAGAAACCTGGAGGGTAGAAAGTGTACCAAAAGAGGCATTTTCTTCAGCTCCTGCCTGCTGCTGTATGTAACTGGTCTCCTCATACACGTGAAGCAGCTCAAGGAACAGATAGTTCTCACTCTGAATAAAAAGAAAAAAAAAAAAAATTTTCTTTGTGTGTTTTCGATGAGCAGAGTTTGTAGAATACTGAAAAATGGTGAGGAAACATGTAACGGTACGTGGCCACCAAAATGCCTTTTTGCATTGCTGCTGACTTGCAACATTATTAGCTTTTCTTCATAGGCAGGGTTTGCCAAGTTTATGCAGGCATCGAGGAAGCTTACAAAGCTCAGTTTGAAAAATAAGGTGTTTTGAAACGTGAAGGTAAAAGGTAGAATGCAGTATTATAAGAGTTTCAGTCAATTCCTCAACTAGGAAAAATGTTATGAGGTAGGTAAAATACCAGAGTTCAGGGTGGGGGCAACACATTCAGAGCAGAAGATGTCTGTAATTAGTTTTGTAAGCGGAGATCAAATATGGTATGGTAGAACAGAAACAGCTGGAAAATGACAACAGCATGCTCAAAAAAACAGTAGGTTAAAGGCTAGAGATGCAAGTACTGGCTGCTGCAGCTTTTGCTGTTGTCAAAGACATTAATTCTCACTGGGTTGGAATACTAGAATCGGTGGACCAGTTTCTAATTTCATGCTCATATTCATGCAGACTTCATGAACTTCAGAGGAATCGTGCACACATGACAGCGATAAATTAATTAAAACCTGGAGTTCAACTGGAAATGCTATATTATATAGTGATTAATGGCTTAATTTTTAATTTGGAGTTCATAAGCTACATTTCATGAAATGGCTGTAATGTGCTCAGGGCACATGGTACATTTGTGGTTCTTAGTAAAATGAGGCTGATGCAATCATGTTGTCTCTCTCATTCTCCCTTCTAGTGACTTTTGAACTTGGTGGCACATTCCAGCAACATATAACAGAGAGGTAGAAGTTACAAAGTAGTTTAATCATTAGGACTTTCATGAATGTAGAAAGCTGGGTAAAGAAAAAAGGTTGTATTGCTCCTCCTACTGAGAGGGATGTGGTAACTTTTAGATACCAGACAATCCATGTGAGAGCCTCAAGACGCAACTCTGCACCCAAGAAGAAATCTGTGGGACATCTGCCTCCTTGCCCTTTCCTTGAGAGGCAGATAAAAAAGGGAGGGAGCCCAGAAGGATGCAAAGCATTTAAGAACTTCCTCGTCAGAGACGATAAAGATCAATACCATGGGCAGTGGTCTCTGACTTGATAGAAGTCAGACAGCCCTGCGAGGTAAGGCTCTAAAAGGCAATGGCCATGTGCCTGTGGGTTTGAGCTGGGTTTTACACTGGCACCGTCCTGCAGCATGGCTCTGAAAAGCAGGCACTTGGTGAGGGTGAGAGAGCAGGGAGAGTACTGACATTGCCCACAGTTCTCAGTGTGGCTGCACAGGAGGAAATAGAGGTTTTGTGGTGGGAGATCAGTGCTGTGAAGAAGTTACAAGGTGCTTTAGGAAAAGGACGGAGGAAAAATAGGTTTTTATCAGCGGGTCTTTGAATGTGCACATGGTATGGGTTTAATTTAAAATAGAAAAAAGGAGTAGTGCTGAGACTTGCTGTCCTAAGTTAGGGCAGATGTTTACCTCCCAGACACTCAGTTGATCTTAGTGTGTGTCATATACAGAAGTGTTGCTTCTTCGCAGTCCAACAAATACTAATTTCCCTGTCCTCCCCCCAGCCTGACCATGGTATTCAGCAAAACAGCTACTGAGCACCCTTTGCCTCTTGGCCTGTCCGTGACTTGCC